AGCATTATATTTATAGCAAGTTATCTGATGTTTATTAGCAATGTCTCGTAGTTTAGAGAGAGTAGGGATATTTTTCTAACTAAGCATTGCATTCGTGCATCCAAAACTTGGGGTAAATTTAAAACTTTATTTTAAATTTAGGAGAATTTGGACAAAAATTCTAAATTTAGGCATGACCTTTGCTCGTTTTTAAACATTTGGATCACAATTCAAAAAATATAACACATAGGGATCGATATGCATAAAGTACAATTCAAATATCGAATTGAAAATCCAATGACCAAATGAATTGATAAAAGAATAAGAATTAATAATGGAATTAATTCTTATTCCAAAGACATATTACCAAAGTTTGATAGAAAATGGAAATAATAATAATAAACTTTATTGATAATGAATATCATTACAAAGTGAAATTGCAAAATTATACAATACGGATAAAGAAACAATAAGCTTTATTGATACAAATACAATTACAAAGTTCTTATGAATCAATATATTGGTAAAATAATAATTATTATAAAAAAGTAGGAGAAGTCCTAAACTAAACATATACTAGACTTCTTGATATTCTTCTTCTTTTCTTCATGGTCTTCAAGACTTGCAAGATAGATAGAACAAGAGAAGAGATTTGGGTTATAATAAAAATGTTGCATTCCCCAAAAGGGAAATGTATTTGATGCATTTCCCTAAGCAAAAATTTCCAAGGGACTCCATCAAAGCCAATTAGAAGAGCAATTTGACCAAATAGATATAGAACTGACCAAATGTACAGTCCAGAGACCAAAAGCACAGTAGATGGTCAAGTGCGAGGGGAGACCATTTGTAATAGATTGGTGGTGTCCTAGATTGGGGGTCACTCACCATGCCGCCTCCCGTCCAGGTGGGACGTCCAAGGACCCCCATGTTGGTTCACTAGTGGGCCACATCAAGGCAACCCACATCGTATGGAAGGAAGTCTCCCGAAGACTTGACGCATATTACAAGACATTTGGAGGTTGTCTACAACATGTTCATATTGTACTTAACCGACTAGGTTGTAACGCTAGACCCACCGGTACCTATATAAAATGAGGGGTAGGGCTCGTAGACAATACACAACGATCTCATGGTAGATCACTTGTAGTTTGTACTCCACCCCAAATCAATACAACACAATCATGACGTAGGGTTTTATCTCTTAGGTGAGCCAAAAGCCTGGGTAAAACTTGTGTCCCTGTTACCATCGTGTCAAGACTACTAACTTGGAACCCTCTACCCAAGTTCTGTCAGATTCGACTCCATCATTGGTGGCCCATATAGGCCCCCGTTGAGTTGTCGTAGAGATTCGATGGGGATCAAGATGGGCGAGCATATTGGCACCGGCATGACCTTCGTACCGGGCCAAATCTTTTTCTTCGGCAACGTCGCTCCTTTCTCTGACTCGACCAATCATCTAGGTCAGGTCGAGACCTTTGCTCCAGGCTGGGTTGTCAGATTCAGCAACATAGAGTACACTGCGTACTCACGCGGACGCGGAGAGCTAGTCTTCTCAAGCCGAGTGTCAAACTAGATTGAGGAGCGGCAAGAAGCACCTGTCCTCACGTCGATGTTGATCCAGGCTCAGGACAAGTGTGAGGATCTCTCGTCGGATCTGAACATAAGTCAAGATCTTATGACACACCCTGAAAAGCTAGACAACGGATCTGGCCCCATGTGAAGAGCCCGGATCCAGGTCAGATCGAATCTTAGGAAAACTCCCCTGACACCGATGTCAGATCGATCCCTAGAAGAATGCGAGAAATCCCTCCTGAGATGTTAGATCGGATTTAGAGGCTCACAATATCAGATGACCAGCATTCAGTCCATGATCGGATCTGGGAGTCACGTGGAAAGGTCGGATTATTTTGACCAACCCACCTTGTCGCTAATGATGAAGATCTGACCGAGGTCCTCACGAGCGGCTCAGACAAGGTTGACGACATGGACGAGGAGGTCTGTGAGTCTTCGGGCAGCCTACCGACGGCCACCACACCCACTGGCAAGTGGACATCAACCTCCACATACGTCATCTATATGGTAGATACTCCACACAACCCGGGGGCAATACAAACGACGGCGGAGGCGGTGACGACAACGACAGCAACAACGAGAATAACAACAACAAGGGCAATATTGCTAATCCTAATGACAATGCTGAAGAACCGGATAACAACCTCGGTGCCGAGGACATTGGCATCCCAAAGAGTCGCTTAACAGCCCCAACCACGACGCGTTGAGGTAAGGTTGGTCCGCATGTCCAACAAGATAACAAACGAGAAGTGAAGACTTTCGGAAGAGCAAGAGTATATGGGCGACCGCTGGAACGAGATGTTCCAAGCCTAGGAAGTGTTCAAGGCCAAGTTGAAGCAGATGACGAACAATAAAGCACCACCTAGCTACTACAAGAACCTGATGAAAGACCTCGATGCCACCGCCGACGGAAGTGCAACATCCCAGCGCCAGTGGGCCAAATTGCACAAGCATGCCGAAAACCGACCTCCCCCTAACGGTTGAAGGCATGGTACAAGCATGCACGCCCCAAGGCGTCTGACCGACGACGCAATAGAAATGCCCCATCAGTTGGCATGGGTGGTTCAAGCAGACGCCCTTCCCCACCCGAGGTCACAGCTCCTCGGACCATCTATCAGGCCAAATACTGTGATCAGTGAGACTGCACCAAGTACGGGGATGTGGGCAATTCTGATGTGCGTCACGTCATCGCCCCGTACCCGAGGTGTTTCACAGATGAAGTCATTGAACATAAATTCCCACCAGGCTTCAAAATTGTGAATGTTCAAAAATACAACGGGTTGACTGCCCCTTCGGTCTTGATTAAGGATTACCAGCATGTTTGATTTTCATCCCGGAGAAAAAGTGCCTGGCCTGAACGGTGCAACACTCCCCACACACAAAATGAGACCACATATATTCTCAAGAAAACGAGACTGCATAAAAGAATCCACCAAAACTAGAAGGACAAGCAGAAAAAAAACAGGATTATAATTATAAACGCAGTTGTGTGGAACCAGTGGAGAAAGGGAGGGGCAGCAAGAGAACAATTAGAGGGGCAGAACAGTCCATTCGCAGAGCCCATGAACTAGGCTTTGCCACCCCAGCCCGGCACCCCCCACCAGTTTTTCTCAAGATAAAAAACCAAATCCATTAGCCCTGCGTTAGAGCAGCAGCAGCAGAAGCAGGCACCACCAAACTCAGCTCGCTCCGCAAGAAAGACACTCTCACCAGCGGCGGCCGGGCGGCGGATCGACGCCAAGAAACTCAAGCGTTGTGCTTGATCGCATCCACCCAACTCACAACTTTTGTGAGGTAATTATAAGCCCCTGCCAGTTCTTCTTTTCCCCCTTCAAACAAGGTTTGGATTTTTGTTCTCTGTCTATCGTGAGTTCAGCAGGCAAGCTCGACGCCGCCGCGCATTTTTCCCGTCCAATAAGAGATGAAATGGTGTATTATTGAAGTGTTTATTTCTACGCTACTCCGACAATGAGTTGGAGGAGTGTATCCAGTAGTGGTGGTGGTTCGGTGGGAATGTTTCTTGGTGTTGGTTTGGTCGTTTCCCCTGTCCTAAAAAGCTGCCTTTTCTTCTGCGCTTTTCTGTTGGTTTCTGCCAGCCAAGGCCTTTCTTTCCTCCCATCACTGGTTCCCTCCCTTCCACCTCCGTCTGATGAGAAGCAGAGGAAGAGGCGGCGTATTCTCCTCGCCGGGTCCACTGTCTAGGGCCGTCGAGATCGGACGGAGCCTTCCTCTTCCCCCTCCGCCGCCAGGCGTCTCCTTCCGCAGCCCCGGGCAACAAAGATCTTCGTCGCCCTCCGCTGATTCATTTCTTTTGCTGGTGACGGATCCCTAACTCGTTTCGATTGATTTATTCCATGCAGCCGATCTAATCCCAACCGTTTAGTCTGTCCCCAATACACCCATTTTTTCTGTCGCGGATTTGTTTGCAGTTTATTTTCTAAAAGATTTTTCTAAGGGTTCTGTTGATCATCCTTTCCCTTTGTTAGGCACTACTGAACTGAACTTGCGTTCTTTGTTAACTGAAAGTAAATTGCAAATTATTCTCTTTCTTTTTTCTGTAGCACGAGGTAAAGTGTGATTTTTTGTTGAGACATGTGCCATTATTTGTCAATCCCGGTATTACAGTTTTTGTGGTATTTTTTATACGAGAAACTTCATAATCCTATGTTCCATTTTCCTATTTCGGATTTATTATAAGGTCTTTCCTCCTTAGCCAAAATTTACCTAGAAAAATCAGATTATGTCAATTTCTTTATGCACATTTCGATCTTGCTGCCAACCAAGAGGAGAAGCAACCCCTCCAAACCAGTGGTCTACGGATTGCAATTCTATAACCACTGTTTGACTGCCTACATGTGCCACACCCTTAAATTATTCTCATCTTGCAACCTGTCTGTGCCATTCATGTTGCTTGCTTGTGATTTTAACCAAGATAAGATTCCTCCCCTCACTGGTGCTTGTTCCCATGGTCTCCCAACATTGCATCACCGATTATTCCCGCTGTCCCCTCACCTCAAGATGCTGCCCTTGTGCTCTGCAGGTGCTGCCCCTTACTCCTCTCCTTGTGTGATCCAGCTTGGACGAGGAGGAGTCCTTGTTGCCGTTGTGCTCTCCCGGACCCAGATCTTGATGCAACTGCCGGCTAGTTTACTCATCTAGAGGGAGGGAGGTCTGCTTGGGCTCTTGACCTGATTTGATTTGGTGGGGGCTCTGCCGCGGTTCAAAGGGGGACAGTTGGGCGTGGATCTTTATCACCAGTTGTTGGTGTTGTCCTTTCAATGGTGGCCACCGGTTTGGTACTTTGTTGATGGGTCAAGTGTTGTGGGTTTGTTGAGGCGTTCCTTCTTGGCTCCCATTCGGTGGTGACTGGTGAGGTAGGGGAAAGTAGAAGAGCTAGAGAGAAAGCAAAAAGGGGAGGAGATTTGCAGGCTGTTTCTCGGTGTGGCACAATGAAGCATATGAAGCTTGGTTCCAAGCCGGATGTCTTTCAGACAGAGGGCAGCAATATCAGGTTAGTTGATTTGCTTCTGTTCTTCCTCAGAGTTTCTTCAGATTCTGTTGACATTTTTACTTCATCTAGTCCTTGCTCTCCAGTTTAGTACCAGTCCTGTTGGACGACGGCAACAATTTTGTGGTTGGGATTGTGAGATCTGTTCGCTTGAGAGAGATTTGGCTTTAGTATGTGTCTTCGTTCTGCAAATTTGCCAGAATGGAGGGGATCGTGTTTTGGTTGTTTCTTGAAATAAATTCCAAGTAAAGAAGTCGCTAAAGGGGGCCAATCATACTGGTTACTGGTCATATGCGATCAGCAATTAATTAGCTCTGTGGTGGGGAATACTGGCCTTGATCTGTAGTTTCCTGGGCTCCATTTCGTAAACAGGAAGAAAAGGATGTGAGCATGCTCCATCGGTGCCATTTCTTTGATTTCAGTTACTAGTATGAGTTTGGGAATCTGCGCAAAACGTCCAATCATTGTGAAGTATTGACATTACTGTTACAAATTTACACTATGAAACCTTTTATATTTGGGTAAAACTAGATAGGTATATATCTATATAATATGTACAGCTATTATATTCGTGTTATGTTTAGCAACTAAATTTTAAAAGATTTACCATGCGGATTGGATTGCTTTCTCATTATAACAATGTTCACAAAATTGGTTGCCTAGCATGCCTCCTAAGTCCTAGCTGTGATGCATCGTATCTTGACATTCGGATGGCTAACTATCCAACTGATGTTCTTTATAGGTTAATTTTTCCTTAATTCCTGCTAGTGGCATATGTTCTTAAGCTCCTCTGTACTTTGAGGGCATGTGCAGATTTAATGATTGCAATGCTTTTCTTAGTTTGTTTAGTGTTCATTTTTAATAATTGAGCTAGTTATTGACCTTGTGGTCCATCTTGTAGATTGAATTCTTGGAGCTCAATTAAGTTCTCTTTGCCTTGCTATGTACAATTTATTTAATCATTGGTCCTGCGCCAGTTCAATTAGTTATATTACTTGTCATACGCAATACTACTAGACTAGATGTGAAGTTGCTTTCCACACCTTTCTCCAGCGTTGCTTGTGGTACTTTGCTTAGGTAAATGGTCTGTCACTCGCTGTCTTACTTTTAGCTGATTCAGTGGGTTGGGATTTTGTTTCATTTTTCATTTTTCATTTGAGCTCTCCATTTATTGTTTTTTGTGGATTTACTTTGCCATCATTGTGATCTGTAACCAATTGTTTGTGTGCAATATGTGACGATCTTTTTGAGAATTATAGTGGGCCCACTTTTATGAACTGTGCCATTTCCACACATAGTGTGATCCGGTAATCTGCCCATATCCTCACAGTTGTCACCTTTGTCATTCTCTTGTAATGATGTGCGAGATGTGAGTCTTCGTGTCCTGACTGATATACTGTTCATTGAATAATGACATGTCATCACTACCATCTGCCCCTTGTATAACTCATGCCTAGGTAATATGCTAGTTGCATAGTACAGCTATGACATGTGTACATACACATAAAAACACAGGAGCAGGAAGGTAGTGGCCTAGTGGGAAAATGTAAATACGGGCATATATCGATATATGCGGCCTGGAATTCTTTCAGTACTGTTTTTAGATCTGTTGTGGTTATGTAAAGACCTTCAATTCCAATGATGCACCTGTTTTATTTGAAAATTGACCTGCATTTTTTTTGCATCTCATCAGTTTCTATATTATGCTTTGCCTCTATTTATACTAAATAGCTTTGACGCTAGTGTTGTGTTAACGTGCTTTTCAGGTTTGTTGCAACAGAGCTGGCAACAGACATCGTTATCTCCATAGGAGATGTCAAGTTTTATCTTCACAAGGTATCGACTTCTTATCTGTATAAATTGTTGCTTTCATGCTGTGACATTGCAGTGACATTTTGAGAAGAATTCATAATACTAATATTGGCTATTAAGCATGAACTAATTGCTAAGGCTCTTTCCTAGAGCTGTTAAAAAATTATTTTACCAGAATTGCTACTGGTTTATATGACTAGCCTTTGGTGTAGAACACCTAATTATAAGCTACACTAAGGTTGACAAGATGACCCCTTTTTGTTCATTATGCTTTATCAATTGGAGCATTACATCCTTTGTTATTTGTACATACACTCCTCGATTAAGCACAACATTTCAGAACTTGGTGGGTCTTCTACAGTGCACAGTTATATCATTTACAAATGATTGCTTCAACCTAGAAATTGCCTAATGGCAAAAGAAAAAAAAAAAGGAAACATGAAGTGCTTTCAAGCTTTGGAAGTCTCAGCTGTCTATGTTTAGCAATTACTCCTACCATATACTCTTGTATTGTAATTTTGCAACTGAAGGAACTGTTTATACATGCACTTTATGCAGTATAATAGAGTAGAGCTTAATAAGTTAGCATCTGTTTTTTTACCAGTGCAGCTTTACTTTATTATATCTAAAATAATTGAGCTGTGCACATTATTTGCAGTTCCCTCTTTTGTCAAAGAGTTCACGGTTGCAAAGATTAGTAGCTTCAAGTAACGAGGAAAGCGACGATGAAGTGAATATATCTGACATTCCTGGTGGTTCTTCTGCATTTGAAATTTGTGCCAAGTTCTGCTACGGCATGATTGTAACACTCAATGCATATAATGTTCTTGCTGCTCGTTGCGCAGCTGAGTACCTAGAAATGTTTGAGACCATTGACAAAGGAAATCTTATCTACAAAATTGACGTGTTCTTGACATCGAGCATTTTTCGCACCTGGAAAGACTCAATCATAGTTCTGCAAAGTACGAAGTCATTGCTGCCATGGTCTGAGAATTTGAAGGTAATCAACCACTGCATTGATTCTATTGCATCGAAGGCGTCAATTGATCCGTCAGAGGTTGAGTGGTCATACACCTACAACAGAAAAAAGCTCCAATCCGAGAATGGTGTTGATTCTCACTGGAATGGAGTCAGGATGCAACAGATGGTCCCTAAGGACTGGTGGGTTGAGGACCTTTCTGAACTTGAAATGGATTTGTACAAGCGTGTGCTCCTAACAATCAAGGCAAAGGGAAGAACACCTGCTGTAGTTATTGGAGAAGCACTAAGAGTCTATGCATTCCGACGGCTGTTTGGTTCCCTTGAAGATGCCGTGAGCAATGGAATTGATTGCACAAAACGTCGTGCAGTTCTCGAAAGCATTGTATTTCTGCTGCCCACTGAAAAAGGTTCAGTGTCATGTGGTTTTCTTCTCAAGTTACTAAATGCTGCATGCTTGCTGGAATCTGGTGAGTCTTATCGTGATAACTTGGTAAAGAGAATAGGCACCCAACTGGATGGTGCTTCAGTTCCAGACCTTCTTATACCAGCAACCAGTGCTGAAAATGGCGTGTATAATGTCGACCTGATCATGGCAATAGTAGAGCAGTTCATGTCACATCATAGTGATAATGGTAAAATGACTTTTCAAGATGATGATGAAATTGTGGAAGTCGAGAAGTTTGCTTCTGTTTCCAGCACGTCAAAGCTGGCAGTTGCAAAGCTGATCGATGAATATCTTGGTGAGATCGCTAAAGACCCTAACCTGCCTGTTCTGAAGTTCATTGCACTTGCTGAAATGGTGTCTGCCTCGTCCCGACAAATGCATGACGAACTATACCATGCCATCGACATGTATCTAAAGGTAATATTTTTCACATACATCTTCTATTTCCAGTTAGTATGTCTGCTGTTGGGAGTTTGAAACTTACATGCAATTCCATGCTTACAGGAGCACCCCAGCCTATCAAAGAGCGAAAAGAAGAGATTATGTGGATTGATGGACTGCAAGAAGCTGTCCCAGGAGGCCTGCATGCACGTGGTGCAGAATGAACGGCTTCCTCTGCGTGTGGTTGTGCAAGTTCTCTTCTTTGAGCAAGTCCGAGCATCAGACGCTTCTGCCAGGAGTGACTCTGGAGCCGACCTTTCATCTGCTGTTCATTCGCTTCTTCCCAGAGAGAATGGCAACTCGTACGGCAGCTCCAGGTCAGCGGCCACAACAACAACGGAAGAGGAAGGTAGTGGAGTCCCGACATCCAGCGACATCAATTCTTTCAGGTCGATGCGGCTCGCCAACAACTGCGGTGGCAGCGAGAGGAGCAGCACCAGCAGCGACATCAACAAGAACGGCGAAGACAAGAGCACCACCACCGGCAAGGCGAAAGTGATGCTGATGCCGAAGATGCTAAGCAAGCTCTGGTCTGGGAAGGCGCACGTCGGTGAGAACAGTAGCTCGGACACGTCGGAGAGCCCTGGATCCGCGAACCCGGAGGAGGTGAAGTCCACGCCGTCACGGAACACGAGGCAATCGACGTCCTAGTGGCTGGTGCTGACAGTATCATAGCACACGTAGTTTTTCGCTGTCATTGCTTTGATTTTTTTGCTTTACACGAGAGTAGCAATCTTAAAATGTGGAATACTACAACTGACTGCCCTGTCGCCGATGATGTTTTTGTAGCATTTTATGCTAGTAAACTGGTGTAGCCCGTAGAGGTCTGGTCATTGGTGTTCAGGAACACATTTCACAAGATAAAACTGTAATTGTTTTTGTTTTCGGTGGCAATATAAAAGGAAGCCTTTTTTGGAGGAGATAGACTGGCAGAGTAGAGAAAATCCATGTATTTTAGAATCCTCTGTCAAAAATTCAGTTCATACATACTGCCTGGCAACTGTGAATTATCTGTTGATGAAGCTATTGGAATTTAGGTGTTGATGAAGCTATTGGAATTTAGGTGGAGCATTGGTTACTTTTGTTTATCTGAAGGTGCAAATCTAAGCATTCACATTGCTTCGGATTGTTCACAAAAAAATTGATTTTTTTTTGTGACAAACATTTACAAAAGTTTCAAGTGTTTGCAAAAATTCGTCATGGAATCACATTTCTAGAAGGCGTGACAAAAAAACAAAATCGATACTCTGAAAATGCTACTTTCAAAAGCATTTTGGAGGACTGATTTTGTTTTTTTACCATGCCTTATAGGGATGTGATTTCATGAAGATTTTTTGCAAGCACTTGAAATTTTTGTCAATGTTTCACAAAAAGATTCTGTTAGCACCAGTTTCAAGTCTAATCAAACAGTCATTCCATCAAGTTTTATCCAAAACCCTTTTCCTCTAGGGTTTTCCTACAGTCCACCTTTTCCTCTGGCGGCGCCGCCAGAGTCCACGTGGTTGCTACGTCTTCTCGCTGGATCTCGCCGGCGATCAAGTCTGCAAGACGGGATCAGCGATCTGGGCGCATGGAGAACATCGGTGACGGGGATAGTGGAGCGGGGGGTTCGAAGGAAGGTCAGGGGATAGGAAGTAGCGGGGATAGAGACAAGGCTGCTGGAGGGGGTGAAGGCCATGATTTCGATCTACCTGAAGGAAGTCGTGAGCAGGATCGGGAGGTGAAGGAAGATGCTGCAAGTATAGAGGAGGAAGAAGAGGCAGGATGGGACCATTATGGCCCAAACCCTGATCTAGAGGACGCCTTTGAAGGACTGAATCTACATGGAGAGGAGGAAGAGGATCTGGATCTCTCGGGAGAGGTGGATGAATTGATCAGTGAGGTTCATTGGCTTGCCCTATTTAGGGTTCATACTTTGCGACCGTTCAGTCACACGGCGCTGTTGAATTCCATGAGAAACGCCTGGACATGTGCACAGGGTGTCACCTTCAACATCAAAGGGCCGAATTTGTTCCTTGCTCAATGTCACTGTTTGGGAGATTGGAAGAGGGTGATGGAGGGAGGACCGTGGCTTCGTCGGGATCCCGTTGTGTTAGTTGAGTATGACGGCTTCACTAATGTGGCAGACTGTGCCCTTAATATGTATCCGCTGTGGGCGACAATCAAAGTCTTGCCGGATGGTCTCACGAGGAAGAAGGAATTAGCAGAGAAGGTTGCAAAGAAGGTCGGGGATCCACCATTTGCAGTGGTGGTAAATGAAGGGAAGATTAACCCCTCAAATTTTCTGAGAGTGAGGGGTTTTGTGAATGTAAACCGGCCATTGGTGAGGTTTGTACCTATCACCTTGAAAGAGAGGAAAAAATACCCCATAAGGTATGAGAAGCTGCTGGATTTCTGTTTTTATTGTGGTTGTATGGGACATGTCGTGGAGGAGTGCGGGGATG